GAGGAAGGTTGAGAACCACTGCGCTAAGGGGACAGGATGGTCCAACATGCAGCTGACTGAAATGTTGGCTCTTGGGACCCACCAGGAGCTCCACAGGAGAAAGCTGGCCGACGACTGTAAAGATGGACAGCCTCGTGAACAGCACATTCCTAAGAGCAGAGCCAAAGAGCTTCCATTCTAAAGCACTGGGTTGGGGGGCTCACAGGGCGAGCCCCAACTCCGTGTTGAGTCATCCTGAGTGGGCAATGGGTGGGGCATTGATGAGCTAGTGACCCTAGCAGCAACAAACCAACAGCATAAGAAGACAATGACCAAACCATGCCTCTCGATGGCCCTGTTGGGCTCAATGACCCTCAATGAGCCTCAATGGGCTCAGGCATGGGAACACTTGTGAGGGTGGTGCAGGACCAGGCAGCGTTTTGTTTGGCTGTGCATGGGGGTCGCCACAGGCCCGCACTGAGTGGATGGCGCCTAACGAGATCCTTAGTGGCTTCTGCCTGAGGCCTTTTTACCAATAGTTTTCAAGTGGCCGCTTGGGGGAAAATCTTGAGTCATGGGGCAGACACCTGTATTTTCTCCTTGAGAACCATCCGAGGGGGGGAAAAAACGATCCTGAAGAAGCAGGCGGTTCTCCAAGAGGGGCCTGAAGAAGATTGGCAGCACCTGGCAACTTGTTTGAAACGCGCCCTCCTGAGCCCCTTCCTGTTCTTGTTTGTTGCCGGGGCGTGGAATCCCGATCACTGGTAACCCACAAACCAGGGAATAAAATGCTGCTCAGTCTTGCGCCACCCTCATCGCTGTGGCTGCTGCATCCATCCATCATGCCCGGTCTCCCCTGCCAGCCCCCAGCCCCCCTCCCACATTCACCAAAGTGGTGTCCTCTCCTAGCGATTGATCCCTCCTGAAGAGGTTGATGGGGGGCCGGGAAGGACCTACCCCTATTATTTTATGATGGAGATATAACCGTGTAGAAGAATCTTTGTGAAGAGAGTCATAGCGTTTGTTGAAACGCGACTAGAAATCCTCCCTGGCTGTGACCCTACGCTGAACCCCTTAGCTGGTCTCACGGAGACCCCGCGGTTGCGTCTCAAGGCCACTAGCTACGTCAAGACCTCAGTTCTTCTCCGAGTATCGGCAATCTTCCCCACTCTCAATCCTCTCTCGCGGACGCCAGGACCCGCATACATGGCCTGTCTCAAGATTTACAATCTCCAGCATCAGCAGCAAGACAGGGCTTGTTTTCTCTCCAGACAACAATTAGGATCAGGATTCGGGGGGGTACACTCAGGGGAGGTGTAGGGATAAAGGGGAGCTGATATCGAAGAGGTCAAGAATGTTTTGAAATCGATGGTGGAAGCAACAATACAACTCTGCTTCAAGTGATCGGACGACGGGATGGTATGATGTCTGGATTAGCTCCTAATAAAATGGTTTTGAAGGGGGGAAAAAAGTGCTAGTCTCAGAAACTCACAGGGGCAGTTCTACCCTGTCCTGCAGGGCCCCTATGCGTCAGCACTGACTCCATGGCGGGTAAATTTATAGGGGGTTTGTTTCGTTGCGTGATGGAAACACTGTCAAGAGATCTTTATTAAAACAAAGCGTTGTCGTTTGAGCCCCTCATTCCAACATTTATGTCTGTTTAAAACAAACAAAATGTTCCATCCTGTGTAGACAAAGACGGGGAGACAGACATTTGGAGAAAGGACCCCT